TTTTTCAAAAATTGGCTCCGAAATCACCTCTAATTTTTATTACATTTTTTGATACATATTGATGTACTTATGCTATGTAGGAAGTTTGAGCAGATTCCGACTTCAATTTTTTGAATTATGACCATTTTTAAAAACTCCAAATTTTTGAAAATACCCTAATCTACACTGTATGTAGCCCATATATGCTTTATCCTCTTAGAGTATCATGTAATGTGTTCATTAGGTATAGTTGCTGTATCAGTTGGTGAGCCATACTCACTCAATGAAAGGATAGAATTATCATTTAAACTAGTTCACTCAAACTCACTTGTTCTTCTATGGAGCTTCACTGATCCCATTCACCCTCAAGTAATAACATGTACATTATATACTGTACATGCATGTACATATGCATACACTGTATTACATGTATATTATTCATGTCAATCTTAATTGGGTGTTTAAATTCATTTACATTTTAATTTTTGTATAATTATTTTATTTTTTTTTCTAGTTATTTTTAGAAGCTCCTGAAGATATTTTGTGTTTTAAGTTCAATCCAAGCAATCCAAACCTCATTGTTGGTGGCTGCATCAACGGACAGGTAATGAATGTACATGTACATACATGTACTACATGTACATGTATTTGCTTCATTTTTATTACATGTGCCTGTACATGTATAGGTTGTAATATGGGATATAACAGACTATCAGGAGAGGCTACAGATTCATCGCTCAATCAATACAAAAGAGAAAGGACCAGTAATGAACGTATGTACACACAATATACATGTACATGTACTATCTAGCACATTACTATTATATACATGTAATTGTGAGGCATACAATGTACCGTATATCGGGTATATTTCAATGCATGAAAAGTCGTGGAAATATTAAGTTCAATGATGGAATAATTCGGAAGCCTTTTATATTCCGAAAATATTTTACTTGCTATTATTTCCATCAACCACCTAGTTTGGTAAGTCAATCAAAGCATTTGCTAACTTCTCCACTTCTGAATCAACCTTAGCAACACTTCTAACTGGCAAAGAAGGCTCTTTATGGCCTTCGAGTTAGACTAGAATGTAGCCATGGATAGTTATGAAGCCACGTGTTCATAATAATTGCACAATACCACATATCTTCTATTCCTTTTTATCCGCATATTTTAAAATTTCATAATATTTATTTTCGCAATGGATTGCTTTTTCCGAAATTATTAATGCATTGAAATATACCCGATTGTACAGTGCAGTATATGGTAAATTTACATTGTACTTCATTATTATCTATAGGCATTGTTTAATACTGAGCCCAAGCTTGATCATGCTCCTATTGTCAGTTATGTGGCTCTTTCATCAATTGATGCTGGACACAGTAAAGGAGTCACTGGCATTGAGTGGATACCTGATCATCTGGAGGTAAGAGAAGGAGGGAGGGGACAATTAATGTTAATCAAAAATTGTGGATTTTATTACATTTTCTCATTATTTTGGCAGCACTTTATTTGATTTTGCTGTTAAATTGTAACTGGCAGTTTTTAATTTTGTGATTTTGTTTACACGTGCATTACTGAGCATGCGCATTAATGATTGGCGGTTTTAATAATTCGCTTGCAAACCACCAATTGCCAATATAAAACTCCGCCAAATTATGATATGCATGTACATGTACATGCACATGCATGTTCTGATTTTGGACTGATCATTATTCTTTATTATTCTACTGTAGTTATCTCACAAGACCCTTCAGTTTGTTCCTAATGGTTCCAACTATTGCTCTCAACTGGTCACTAGTGGACTGGATGGGTAAGACCCTTTTATAATAACCACACCCACTTTACTTGTATCTCCATGGTAACCAGTAACGTCCTTTTTTGGGACATGAGGCCCCTAAGCAGCAAGAAGTACACTCAGAATAAGTCCCAACCAACCAGTGACCCTGACTCACCCTATCACTACCTGCACTTGATATGGAAACCATTTTATAAGGTAATGGGAACACATAATCCTCTACATGTATTGTTCATGTAATGTACATGTATATGTACACACAGCATGTACATGTACATGGAAGAGTTTTTTTAATATTTGGCTAAAGTCCATGGACTACAGTACATACATGTACATGGTCTTTCATCCAAAATGACTTATAGG